GGAAAAAGTGTAATTATAAAAAGTTTGGGATTAAAACAAAGATGGGGGGTTAAATGGCTATTTTATAAATAGCCAACGGCTATTTTTGACATGCCAACATCTATTATTTATTTTTTTTAATTTATTTTAAAAAAAAAAAATAGCCGTTGGGACCGTTTGGCCCGCTAAGGGACCGGGCCGGTCCCGGGCCTGAAGGGCCAAAATCATAGGACCGGCCCACGAGACCGGACCAGGCCCGCTAAAACCGGACCAAACAGTCCTGGCCTGTTTAGCCGTTTGGCCCGCGGTCCCGGGCCTGGACCGGCACACTTGCCAGCCTTAGGTAGGGGTATTGTTGGCCCTTTTCCGAAATTGAATGGCCATTAGTTGGTCTCGATCTTGGGTATCATGGCTGAAAAAATGAGTCTGTGACCTGGCACCTCTAGTTATTTAGTTACTTTGCATGCCACGCCTTAAATATTTAATATCAACGTTCCTCAAGATATTACTATATATATATATACACTTTAAACTTTTATCCGAGCGTGCGGGTGGTGTACCATACCCTCTGCTCTACATAGATCCGCCCCTGGAACCGACATGCATTCTGATGAGAAGTGGAGCCAGAATTTTAATTTTATAGGTTCTAAATTTTAGAAATGTGATTATAAGTGTTAATAGTTGGGTTCTAAATTTATTATCTGTATATATCTAATAATTACTATTTTTAAATATTAATATACCATTTTGAACAAAGCTACTGACTTCGCTCGAACCGTAGCCGGGCTACTGGCTCTTGAGATTCTTGCATAAAATTCTAATAATTTTTCTCACGCCTCCCACAGGAACGGAGTTGATACTGTCCTTAATTTCATAGTTCCGCATTTTACTATTCAAAGGCATCCACCAACTCAAAAAAAAGATTTAGATGAAAAGAAAATTTAAGGTTACTTTTGTTGACTAATAAACTAAGTATCAAGAAAACAACAAATAAAACTCACTCCAATTGTGGAAAAGTCAACCAAGGTAGACACTAGGAAAAGTCAAAGAAAACACGCGGAAATATCCTAAAATCAAAGTTGCAGACACAGATAACAAATACTATAAAAAAATCCTATTAAGTTCTTTAAATATTTGAATGAACCACATGATTTACATTATAGTGAGCCTCCATTTATGAGTTAAAATAACACATTGGCTTGTCATTAGTTCTCTTTAATTTGTTGCACTCACATCTAACCTTTCTACCTTACGAAAATGGAGAAGATTCAGCACAATTATGTGGATGTAAAAGGTCTCAAGCTTCACATTGCAGAGATTGGAACAGGTCCTACTCCATATCTGATCTTCTTTTCTCTTCTTTCTTTTTTGTGTATGTAAATATAATTATCTGTTAGGGCGAAAGTTAGACGCGCAAGGGGTTCATATTATAAGGTCATAGTTATTTTTTACATATATACAGTAGATGTTGGTTCCCTTTAACTACTTTGTGTGTTTGGTTCTTTATATTTTGTTTCCTCTTAGTAAAAATTTTGGCTACGCCACTGTCTGTGACGTGAATAATTGATACTGAAATTAAAGTAGCTATATATATGCAGGCCCTGCAGTATTGTTTCTTCATGGATTCCCTGAGATATGGTACTCGTGGAGGCATCAGATGATAGCAGTAGCGGATGCAGGATTTCGAGCCATAGCCCCTGACTTCAGAGGCTATGGTTTGTCTGAATTGCCTGCAGAACCCGAGAAGACGACATTCAGGGACCTTGTCGATGATCTTCTGGACATGCTTGATTCATTAGGCATCCATCAGGTGAAGAATCCTGTGTAGATTACACATTTTTACTACCTACATCACACTGTCAATGCATTTTGACAAGTCAAAGTTTTCATTAGTTACACAAGTCGTGTCAAAGCAGAGACAGATTCAGGATTTAAACTTTTGTTAGTTGAATCTTTAAACTTCGTAGCATTAAACCAATTATATTTAAAAGGTATGAGTTTATATATACTATTTATTGCAATTGTAATGGATTTTATACATACGTTCATGATCTGCGTCAAAAATTCTGGGTTCATATGAACTTGGTAGCTCAAGCTTGCATCCACCTAGTGTCAAAGTATGTACTAGTTGTTTATATGATGACACAAGTACGGTATATTTAATAATCATTGTGGTGATTGAGCCAATTTGTATACATCTTAACTATTTCATTAGGTATATGTTACCTCATGGCGACACAAGTATAGGCAGAGGTAAATCCAAAATATAAATGATGAGTTCTATTTTTAAGATTAGTATGTTGAACCTACTTTTCTTTTGAGATTATGGTATATATTACCATTTTAGTGATTTTTTACATGCTTATTTACGTGCCATATCGAAATTCATAGGTTCAATTGAACTCATCAAATCTATAGTCCATCGGCCTATAGATATTAGTGATTCATATATACAACGTCAAAATGATAGGTTCAATTGAACCCATCAAATTCATAGTCCATTTGCCTCTTGATATTGATAACTCTGTCAATCAAGAGTACTTAAATAGATAAAAAGAAACCACTTAATATTTTGTTTACCTATGGGTCTTTAGTCCAACAAATTTACTGAGATAATTGTGCCATTATTTTTGTTAGGTTTTTCTTGTGGGGAAGGATTTTGGAGCTCGAGTAGCTTACCATTTTGCACTCGTACACCCTGATAGAGTTTCAGCAGTTGTAACACTAGGTGTGCCTTTTCTTCTCACCGGTCCAGAAACATTTCCTCGAGATCTCATTCCCAATGGGTTCTATATGTTGAGATGGCAGGTAATTTTATGTCTTTAAACCTCATATATTTGGTATTGCCCAACAAAATAAAACAAGAACTTTTTTTTTTTTGGGTGTCATTTTCATCAAATGTGGGGAAAATAACTTTCTTCATTTATAAACGAAAGTTATTTTCCTTACAACTATCTAGGCGTTAAACATTATTCAACTTTTGGAATTCAAAATTTTCATCGAAATACTCCTCGATCGGCTAATAATATGAGTAATCTATAATACTATATGTTTTTTCAGAAAATATTTTTCACTCACTGACCAAAGCTAGTATTTTCCTTACAACTATCAGACGCTAAGTTTCATATTACTTGCTTCAACTAACATTTTGACATTATAATTAATCTATGGAATTCAACATTTTCATCAAAATACTCCCAAATTTGCTAAGAATATGAATAATCCTTAATATATGTTTTTCGGGAAAACATTTTCCGGTCACCGGCCAAACTAATAATCTTGATCTTCTTAAGCCGATGATCTATCAGAAACAACTTCTCTGTCCCCGGAGGTAGGAGTAAGGTCTGCGTACACATTACCCTCCTTGTATCCCAGTTGTGAGATTTTACTGGTTGTTGTAGTATTTTCCAGTCACCGACCAAACACCAAAAAAAAAAATCTTTCTTTATAGAAAATGACTTTTGTCGTGTCAAATACACAATTAATCTTTTCGCTTTTGCAGGAACCAGGGCGAGCTGAAAAGGACTTTGGGCGTTTTGATACAAAAACAGTAGTTAAGAACATATATACTATGTTCTCTGGAAGTGAATTGCCAATTGCAAAAGATGATGAGGAAATAATGGATTTGGTTGATCCTTCTGCTCCACTGCCTGACTGGTTCACAGAAGAAGATCTTGCAAACTACGCATCTCTTTATGAAAAGTCAAGTTTCCGAACAGCATTGCAGGTGCCTTACAGGTCAGTCACTTCTAGTGAAATTCTAATATGTGGTTTGTTTAAATAATTTTTACATATAATAACATTATAATAATTAATCATAGCACAGTATTCAAAATTAGACAATACCGTGTTTAGTTGGCCACATTAATAAAAATAATTGTCACATAACTAAGGCAACGTTTGGATGGCATATTATTTAATACTCGCTTTAAATTATGCGAGGACTGTATATTATTTTACGTGAAATAGAACATGAAAAAAAAATGTATTAGTCGGCCGATAGTGGCCTACGGCCGACCTCGTGCCATAGTTACCTGACACGACCGACATCGTACCAACGACAGAGGCATGCCACGGCCAACCTCGTGCCATAGTTACCTGCCACGGCCGAGCCGACATCGTACCATTGATAGAGGCATGCCACGGCCAACCTCGTGCCATAGTTACCTGCCACGGCCGAGCCGACATCGTACCATTGATAGAGGCATGCCACGGCCAACCAACCTCGTGCCATAGTTACCTGCCACGGCCGACATAGTACCATCGACAGAGGCATGCCACGGCTGACCTCGCCACGGCAGCCATAGTGGCCTGCCAGGGCCGACATTGTGCCATTAACATAGGCATGCCACGACCGACATCGTGCCATAATGGCCTGACAAAGGCCTACGTCGTGGATGCAGGCGTTGAACTATTAAAGGCAAAATACCCTTTTGAAGTAAGTAAATCATATAACAACCCCAATCATTATTAATCATCCCCTACCGAAACGGTACCTTCATTATCAATCACAGCATAAACAAGTCCCGCCTTATATTTTTCCGTACTAGTATGTGAATCGTCCCTTGTTTTACCCCGACTGACTCTAAATCTTGGATTGGATTCGCTTCTGTTGCTGAAACACTCTAAATGATATTTAGCACTTATAATGTTGTGACAAAGAGTGGATATTTTGACAGGGCTTGGCTAGAAGAATATGGAGTTAAAGATATCAAAGTCAAGGTTCCCTGTTTGCTTGTAATGGGAGAGAAGGATTACGCCCTTAAGTTTGGTGGATTAGAGCATTACGTTAAAAGTGGAATGGTGAAAGAATATGTACCTAATCTGGAAACCACATTCTTACCAGAAGGCAGTCATTTTGTGCAGGAGCAGTTTCCTGAACAGATCAATCAGTTGATTATCACCTTCCTCAAAAAGCTCATATGATGAACTGCTTTCCAGCGATATCGAATAAAGGGCGACCCAATGCACGAAACTCCCGTTATGCACAAGGTTTGAGAAGGACAGGCATTTGGGTCTTATTTTTCACAGTTGAATGTTGATCTAATTTTTATCAAACAGTACCATATCACATTTTCGGCATATTTCTACTTGTATGTTTTGATCAATAAACGAGACAATGGTTTACATGCCTCGGTTCTACAACATGTTTCCAGAGGTTTTACAGCAAAATATTCTGTTAAATCTTTCATGATAAAAGGAAAAAGAAAAAATGAACAGTGATTAGAGTCCGTGGATTCTCTGAATTAGATAGTCCGTGGATTCTCTGTTCATTTTCTTTGTCCATATAACCAATTTTTAATCTGACATAGTCAAAGTAATCTAATGGGCAAGAAAGATCATAGTGCTTACCTAAATGTTTGTTGTAGGCATTGAAGTGAAGAAATGCCCAAAATATCCTCCCATTCTTTTCAAAAGGGGAAGGCCCAAATCTGACACTGTACTATCCGAAATTGCTCAATTTTGCCATCCGTTACACTTTCAGTCCACCCATATCCTTGCCGTTAGCAAATCGTCTCATAGTTACTCTTGCCATTAACTGAGCTCCAACACGAAATGGGGTATCCAGTATCCACGCATTCAAATTCTTCCGAGAAAAAAGGTCCAAATTTACCCCTTAACAATTGACATGGCTTAGAACTACCAAGAAAGTGCTGAAACGACTGCAGTTCTACCGGGACAAGAAGAAGTCAACTCATTAATAGGGGAAGTGGAGTAAAAGCAAATGAAATACTGCAGAAGATATTAAGGTGCATGTCTCAGAATAAGTTTTCTATACATTAAGAGAAGTGCTACTACATTCTCTCAGTGGCATGAACTTTTTCACAGCCATAGGCTGGAAATCTAGCTTCTTTAGGTTCTGTCATGTCTAGGAAAAGATAAGCCATACCCCCAATACCTTCAAATAGAGAGTATGGGCTATCTCCTCCATGCATCTCTCCTTTTGCTATTAGCTTGTGAGCTCTATCAAGAAGGAAGCAGGCCAAAGCTTTGGCTCTATACAAATACTCCACGCTTCCTGTGAGCTGATACAACAATAGGAAGACATAAGCATTCCCACTGATCCCATGGCACATCCCGACACGTTTAAGAAGGCCGCGGTTCCATACTACCTCTGCTGCATCTACTGCTGCATTAAGAAATTCTCTGTCTCCGAAAACCTGGGCATTGGAAAAATCCATGGATTTCCAAGTTACAGTATCAACAAATATACATAATATATACAGACCTCTCTATAAACCTCTCTATAACAACTTTTTACCTATAAGAGCAACATCCATCTTTATAGCAGTAACATTTTGACATAAAGTAAAGGGACCAATCAATGAGATGCATACATTATAGTATTTGAAGTAAATCACATTGAAGAAAGTTATTACCTCAGCTGCCTTGACAAGTGTTAGAGCAATCCCGGGAGCTCCGTGGCACCAATGGACGAGAACATCTCTCCGCTTATCTTCTTCACTTGTAGGGTAATTTCCACTTGGGAACCGATTCTTAACCATGTACCTTAAAGTTTCTTTGACATCTTCAAGCTCATCTGGTTTCAGTTCAAAATCCATTAGAACATACATAATGCCAGCCAATCCGTGAGCTGCACCCCAGTACATCTCACCATACCACTCATACATCAACGGGCTTCTGCCCCTCCCTCCTAATCTCCTTCCATTCTCGATGATTTCATTGACCACAGCAGCCTAAGATACAATTAAGAAAAAATAAATTCGGATTGGAGATCACAACCATCTGATTAACGCCCACTTAGATTACAAAACATACTGTTCCACTTACAGTATAGGTAGAAGGAATTGTTCCTTTGCCAATATGCTTATTCATGAATAGACAAGCCCAGAGGAATCCAGCTCTACCATACAGCAATTCATCAGGAAGATCTTTAGTTAATTTTATCTGCTCACAGAACCAAAAGAGTGTCTTGTGAGTAATCACGATACGCATAGCAGACTACAATAAACTACAATATAAAAGTCTAGCTATCACTTATCAAGAACAAACCTCTTTAAACTGAGTAACATAGTAAAGAACCAGTTGATCATCCCCCATGTACTTGGCAACAACAGCACCTAGCGCACAAACCCCAGCTCTCCCACATAGGAATGTCACATCCCTATAATTTGTAGCTCAATATAACACAATAATCAACCTAAAAAGACAATTTTGTTTATCTTGCTTCCATTTGAAGCTTTAAATTGAAAAGACAGAAAGTCATTACCCTTAAAGTTCATTTGAGCAGAAGTAACACAAAAAATTAACCAAAACCCCATTTTCCTATTCTTGCTGCCAATTGAAGCTTTAGATAGAAAACAATGATGCATATAATAAAGAAAGGATTGACTTTTGACCTGGAGTTTCGAGAAGCAAAGTCACAATCCTTAACAATCTGAGAGCAAACAGCAAGGTCGTTCGTGTTATTTGTCACCTGATAGGACTTGAACATCAAAAAGGCAGTCCCAAGAGTTCCATTATAGAGCGTAAAATCTGGAACTTGTTGCCTTGTTAGTCCCCATGTCTCCACCAATATCTGTCACCAACCACACCAGCCATCAATTAGTTTTAAAAAACAACAAATATACCTCATAACAAACTAGTTAAAATCAACAATATCAATCCTTAACATCCTTCTGCTACATCTAACCCTTTCATCCCTATACACAATAGTTTATCGGGAAAAATTGAAGTCCTCTATCATTAGAAGTTCTCTACAAGAATTAGTAACAACATCTACTACACTTCAACCTCAAACTAGTTAACGCTTCAACCTCAAGCTAGCTAACGCCCACTATTTAAATCCTTAATATTTATTCAACTTCATTTAAAGCCTTTCATACCAATTGTCAATAATTTACTCCCTCCACCCCAATTTATGTACTATCTGTCACCAACCACACCAGCCATCAATTAGTTTTAAAAAACAGCAAATATACCTCATAACAAACTAGTTAAAATCAACAATATCAATCCTTAACATCCTTCCGCTGCATCTAACCCTTTCATCCCTATACACAATAGTTTATCGGGAAAAATAGAAGTCCTCTATCATTAGAAGTTCTCTACAAGAATTAGTTAACAACAACTACTACACGTCAACCTCAAACTAGTTAACACTTCGACCTCAAACTAGTTAACGTTTCAACCTCAAGCTAGCTAACGTCCACTATTTAAATCCTTAATATTTATTCAACTTCATTTAAAGCCTTTCATACCAATTGTCAATAATTTACTCCCTCCACCCCAATTTATGTACTCCCCCCATTCCAATTTATGTGACGGTGTTTAATTGGACACGGTAAAAAAAGATGGTGGAAATTGTGGTACAAAATGAGTCAAAGCTATTTGTATGGCTATAAATTATCACATTAAGGATAAAATTGGCATTTTAAAGTAAAATTGTTACTATATATAAAAATGTGTCATTCTTTTTTGGAAGAGACTACAAATTCTTTTTTGGAAGAGACTACAAAGGAAAGAGTGTCACACAACTTGGAAAAGAGGAAGTAACACTTTTTTTAGTATGTCCCATGAGGAATGACGCATATTTATATTAAAAATAATTAAACTTTAAACTTCTCATTTTACCTTTTTCATATTTACCTTTAATGAGATATTTATTTTCACACATGTCTATAACTTGTTTTAGAACATAAATTTTAGAAGTCCTTCATTCTTTCTTAAAACTCCTTACATAGTAGTCAAACACTGTCAAATAAATTGGGACGTAAGGAATACTATGCTTCAACCTCAAACTAGTTAACGTTTATTATATAAAAATCCTCAGTATTTATTCAACTTCATTTAAACCCCTTTCATACCAATTCTCAATAATTTACTCCCCGTCCCAATTTATGCTAACACCTTTTTTTTTTAGTATGTCGCACAAAGAATGACACATTTTTATATTTTAAAATAATTAAACTTTAAACTTTTCATTTTACTTCTAAATCACACAAAAGCTTGTTTTAGACCATAAATTTTAGAAGTCTTTCATTTTTTTCTTAAAGCTGCTTACATAATTAAACACTGTCGCATAAATTGGGAATGCTTCAACCTCAAACTAAATAACGTTTACTACATAAATCCTCAATATTTATTCAGACTTCATTTAAACCACTCAATAATTATCCTTTACCACAAAACATTTTTTAAAAAATCCTAACATTTTAGAAGTTCTACTTACGAGAATTATGAAAGCGTATAATAAGTTTATAAGGAAGAAGAGAGTTGTTACAGTTTCTTTAAGATCGAGAGCGGCGCGTTTGAACTTCTCGGATAGAGTATTGTACGGCGTAGACAGAAGCTTCAAGAGTGATTCATTTGTGCCTTGTGGAATTGGATGCTTTTCTTCTTCAACTGCTGGGTTTTCTGCTACAAAATCCGGCATTACATTTGGATAAAATCGATCCGCCATTTTTGCAAAAATTCGATTGAAAATCCAATAATTTCTCACACACACACACACATAGAGAAGGGCGAGTTAGTGGGTGTTTTGCCACGTAAACAGATTTGAGTAGACTCTGGTCTCACTAGCCTTACACGTAGTACTCATAGTCGGATTTGCATTGTGCAAAACGACGACGTAAATGGAAAATAGTGATAATTACACCCTTGATAAATTATAATTTTGGTTTCTATGATATGCCTAAGGCGGAATACCTTAAAAAAAAAAAAAAAAAAATTCATTAACTTGGCACGAATTATTAGTTACACCCCTAAATTATTTGTGATCTTAATTACCCCTGAACTTAGACTTTTAAGAGTCATTATCCACTGGACGCTGATGTGGCAAAGAGTGTAGGTGCACTCTCTTTTAAACGCATGAGAGTGAAGTAAATTTTTAAAAAATGACTTCCAAGTAGGTTATTTTTTAACTTTTAATTGTCATATAGTCATATATAATGATTTATTTACTACAACTATGTATTTCTTCTTGCTTAATCTTAACATACAATGTGGACTTTACTCTAACTTTTATTCTTTTTAATTTCTTCTATAGGTATAATATCTATTTGTTCCAACTACATATTTCTTTCTTCTTCTTTTTTGGCTAAATTTGTAAAAAGTTTGGTTGGAACCTCATCATTTTAACCAAATAGAAAACTTTTAGCCAAAATAATGGAGTACTAGTTGTGTATTTCGTGTTATTTTTTTCTTTAGATATAATGTCTATTTATTTTAATAGTGTATTTTTATTTTTGAGTCAAATCAGTAAAAGAAATTTGGCTACAACTCCATTATTTTTTACCAAATAAAAAAGGTATAGCCAAAATAGTGAATTTGCAATTGTACACTCTTTTTATTTCTTCTTTTGATGTAATTGCTATTTATTTCAACGGTGTATTTTTACTTTTTCAAGTAAAATCTGTAAGAAAATATATATATTTTTAGAGCTCCTTAATAAAGAGCTATATAAAAAATTATAGCCAAAATAATAAAGTTCAAACTATGTATTTTTTATATCTTTTTAGATGCCTTGACTATTTATTTTAACTGTATGAATCTTTATTTTCAGGTCAAATTCAAAAAAGATTAACTAAAACTTTATGATTTTTAGCCAAATAAAAAAAAATTAGTCTAAATAATGTAGTTCTAGCCAAGTTTTATTTAATATTATCCGAAAAAGATTATCTGAAAAATGCCACACTTAAAAGGGTAAAGAATACATTTTAGTTTTCAAAAAAATGTCACTCGGACAAGAAAATTCACGTGGCAGATGAGTGCATGCCACTTCCCTGGGATAAGATCGTCCAAGGGGGCAACAACTATCGAATAACCAAGTATAGGGGGTAATTAAGATCACGGATAGTTCAAGGATGTAACCAATAATGTGTATCAAATTTAGGAGGTTTTAAGGTATTTTGCATATGATTAAGTATATTAACTTTTAGTTTATTGAAATATATGATTTTGATCATGTTATATGGAAGAAGGGAAAAGATATAAGTAGTCACCTAAACTTGTCCAAAAAGTTATTTATACACTTTAATTAATTTTATGGGCGATCTATTATCCGGATATTTCTATTTGAAGTAAATCTATTTCCCTCTAAAAGGTGACCCGGCAAAAAATGTGTTACAAATCAATAGTACAAACTTAAAGATTAGTTATCATAATATATAATTCGTTAAATTTATTAAAAGTAGCAAATAAAGAGATCAAAAGTACATATTTTGATGAATTAAAGATAAAATGTACTACTATCACAAATCACAAGGATTAAAATCAAAACTTATTGATAGTTGAGGGACTCAAATACAAATATCCCTTCTTCTTCTTTTTTTTTTCAACAATGAAATTGGAACACAACATTTTCCATGTTAAATTTGTCTGTTGATAAACCTGTCAAGTGGTTGAAAGGAATAGCATTTCATGTAATTGATGAAAAGAAAGCTGATCTTTCTATTTTAAAAGTGATTATGCAACCATTAGCATTTCATGATGTATTGATATCTTTAGATACGGATTTGATCAAGGCGGCTCAAACACATACGGAGCCTAAAGCTAACGCTTAATATGAGGCCTAAATGTTTAAAAGAAAATTATAATAAACTTATGTTTTTATTTGAAGTCTATTCTTCTAGTTTTTGAGATACAAAGTTGTTAATAACCTTTTTTATAATCGATTTATCTAATAATTCATTTTCAATTGATAATATAGCCAACTCAATTAATCTTTCTTGAAATATTATTTATCTTAAATAAAATTTTAGAGAGCAATAGAAGTATAGAACTATTAGAAGTTTAAAAGTATTGTTGAACACTTGAACTAATGAAATCTTGGAGAAAGAAGAAGAGTAATAAAATTTTGAAGAAAGAAAGTGACTAAGAATATTAAAGAGAAAGACAGAAAATATGTAGGGAGTTTCTAAAATATGAAGAGGTTGGGAAAAAGAAAGATTGACTTGGACAAATTAAGAAAGGGAGAGTAAAATTTTTAAACGTTATCTAATGAAGAAGTAAAAAGTGAAAGTCTTACTTTCAAAATAATTTATTTATTATTTTGGATCAAATCGGTTCGCTTGTCTATAAACCACGTAACAAATTTAATTGTACTATTTTACTGGTAAATAAATGTTATCAATAAATATGAGAACATGGAAACCAAGCAAGTAGCAAGCCTGGCTCCTGGAGCAATGCTTTCGAGGACAGCAGTAATAGCAATATCAGACAGAAAGTAATGTTGTATTATTTGAGAATAAAGTTTAGCATAAGTTTTGCCAGAGATTTCATGTCCTCTACAATGGTTGTGGAAGTCCCTATTTATAACTATACCTAGGAAGCAAGATCTTAGGATCAAGCTCTTCTTAAATAACAATAATGTGGGCCATTGATAAATATGTAACGGCAGGCCATGAATGCCAACATTCTCTGCAACGACTGCCTATTTAATACTAAGGAATATTCTTCATTAAATGTCATCTGGTGACAAATATTCGTTTGCTTCCATTAACTGCGTTCCCTTTGGGATCTACCCGATACCAACCAAAGATGTTGTCCTCGGTCTTGGTTTGCACTCGACTCGTCTTCTGTCTGCCTCCGGTTCTACGTGTCGTGCACTCATTCGATCATTTAATATAAATTAATTTTACCCTATATAAATAGTCCCCCTACTTTCCGGTGGCACATCTTTGTGTTATCGGGAATTTGGTGAAGATTTCTTTCTTGGCGGGAAATTTTCTGAACCCTAATGAACATTTTCTGACGCTTGATAAGACGAACGTCTTCTCGTATTTAATACCCCGAACACATGTTACCCCACGATTCAACAATCTTTTCGCCGGTTCTCGAGGTAATCATGACCACGATTTTAGCAATTTATACCTTTACTTATGCGCCTCATTCTTCTTCTTTCACTTTTAACAACTTCATAAGCTCTCTTACCCTCTTCGCACTTAACTTTTTCTACTTTCATCTTTCTCTGATCTTCTTTAAAAAAATCGATAATCTCTTTATCAACATGGCTTCTCCTACTAAATCTTCTAAGAACACTGGTTGGAGGCCCGATGAGAAGCAAAGATAAAGAAGTTAATGTTGATCCTCCCACGGTGAGTACCATCATACCTTAACATCTGAACACCGCCTACGACTTCTAAGAGAAGTTCCGTACGTCAAACCCTCAAACTTGGACTGTTGGAAAATATCCTTCTTCTATTCGCCCTTCCAGTATCCCTATTGTGAAGGAAGATTGTAACTGCCAAGACCTAAACACCATCGCTCCTGACCTAGTGGAGCGGGTGACCTTCACTAAGAAGGGTTTTACGTATGTTCATACGTACCCCTTCACTTGGGGCCCATTCTCATTGAGCGGGGGACTTGACACCGTGATCTTTGAATTCTGCCACCGGTATCAGGTCTGCTTGGCACAAGTAGGCCCTTCTGTGTGGCGAACGGTGGCTAGTCTGCACCGGATGTGCTTGAAAATGGGGGATACCCTAACCCTGGCGCATATGATGAACCTCTACTCCCCCAAAATCTTCCGTGGGGGAGTGATAAATTTCAGCAAGCGTGGCGATCACGCTTTGCTTACCAGCATGGATGATGACAATGATCGTTGATGGATAGAGCGGTTTGTTGTCATTGCTAAGAGGGATATCGTCCCGGACACACTCCATCTTTCCTCGAATCATGGAACTGTTCACGTAAGTTTAAAATCTACCTCTTTCTCAGAAAAAGGTTACTCCATGTCATTGCTAACCCTTTTGCTTCCGTTATTTTAGCTACTCGGTCGACACCACTAAGGGTTGAAGGCCTAGATTAATGGGTTCAGAATATTCTGGACTTTACTGCACCAGATACACATCGCTGGAAGGAGTTGGCCCCCAAATACGGGTGGAAGGCCAAGAACCACGGTAAACTGATTCTTTCTACTTTTCGGCTTTGTACATAAGAAAACTTGATTACCATACCTTTTTGTTTGATTCAGGGCTCCCGCAGGGTTCTGTTTCCTGCCCTGAAGAGGAAGTTTTGGTTGATCCCAAAGAGGCTACGAGGTTGTTGCAGGAGGCTCTCACTCGGAGCGGTGCCCTCGGGTTTGCTTTTGGTGCAGATGCTTCCTCTCGGGGTCCTCAGCTAGAGAAAAAGTAACCAAAAAGGCGGTGTTCTCCTCAACTGGGGATAAAAACAAGAAAATAAAGAAGGCCACGCTTGAGCCAGCCGCAACCAGTTTGGTTATTGACGATGATGGGGAAACTAATGATGGAGAGGCTTCTTTGCGAAGAAGACAACGATCTTCATCAGCTCAACAAAATGCTTAATTTGGAGAGCTTAGAACCCCAACTAGGGCGAGGTCCGAGGGCTCTGGGGGAAAATGGATTTGGTGGAGAATGCTAACTCTCCCTCTTTGGTCCCAGTTGCTGCTCCCGATCCTATGAGGTCAGAGACCGAGCCTTTTCTACCATTGGTTGGTGAGCAACCAATAATCAGCACCACCTCTGTTGCAGCTGCTTCTCAACCTACATCATTATCAGCTTCATCCCCCTCTTCACCAGTTGTGTCTTCATCACCAGCAACTACTGCATCTCCTCCAC